ATTTTGCACACGGTTATTTATTGGAAAATATATTTCTATTTGTTTCGTTTAATTCTTCTTCATATTTTATTTTATTTTTTTTAAACACCATACACTAAAAGACTTTTGATTTAAGTATTTTATTTTGCATATAGTTGGTTATTAAAAAAAATATTATATTTCAATTTGTTTCGTTTAATTCTTCGTATTTATTTATTTATTATTTTTTTTTTCAGGATAAATAACGTGACTCTACGTATGCGAAAAAAGAAAATAAACAATTTTGTGAATCATCGGTCTTTGTTTTAATTCGCATACAAATGAAAATTATTTACTCTCTTTGTTCGCGAAATTGGGAATTGCATTTATTTTACGTTGCAATAAGATAAACAGAATTTTATTAAAATGATTTTAAATGATTATATATCTGGATTGAGAAATTATATAGAAAGTTGAGAATTCTATGATGATAGATGGAACAATGGTGTTCTCTACAATAGTAAGAACAATTCAACGTTCGTCGTCTCTTTCATTATTCTCCCTAAGTTCTCACATTCACCTAACTCTATCTTTATCTCTCTCTTTCCCTCTCTCTTTACCTTTATCTGATTTCCCATAAATGCTTTTCGTGACAGGTGCATTCAAACGTTCCCTTTTGTAAATACATTTGACAATATAATATTGTAATATTCTGATTTATATATCATTAAAAAGTAAGAACAGTTTACGTATACACCAATTAATACAGTAATCGATCTTTAAAAAATAAAAATAAAATAAAACCATATTTATAATTTTACAAGAAAAAATTACAATTACAAAATAGTACATAATATAAAATGTTACCAAAAAACAAAACAAAAAATCGAAAACCTATATGTGTGTGTATTTAGTAAAAGTTTTAATTTAAATTGAAACTTTTGGTACTTTGAAAGATTAGCTAGTACATATTAATAGATTTTCGAGAAAGGTTGCGTTTTCTCAACGCAATATATAATATAAGTATATAGAGAGATGTATATATATATATATATGTATATGTGAATATAGTTAGATGTGTGAGTTATTCGAGGATCGTTCAAGTCACTTGGTGTTTTTCTCGTGGAAAACTTGGTGTTCTTCTTCTCGGTGAATCAAGTTTTGGCAATGAACCAAAGTCTCCTTTTTCGATGAAAGAGAAAAGACAAAGAAAAAGAGAAAACGAAGGAGAGAGAGAGAGAGAGAGAGAAAGAGAGATTTTCTCTCTTTCTCTCTCTCTCTCTCTCTTGTTTACTTGCTAGTGGAAAAGATCAATACCATCTCTTTTGGCACTGTTATCTTCTACTACTACTACTACATACAAACTTCTTCATCTATTCAAATTTCCTTCTATTATTTGAATAATAAACGCATCTAAACAACAATTCAGTTACATTTCTATTTAACTTTATGTATCATAATTCCGATGTTTATCTATCTGCATAGTCAGCTTCGTAATACGACATCGTTATAAATAAAATTACACGAACGTAGTATAATCTAACGAAAATATCCTACAATTATTTTGATTTGTTTTTCTATTGTTTTTTTTTTTTTTAATTTCATCATATCTACTTTGATTTTTTAACATAAACTGTAAACTTTTTAAAACTGTTACTCATACATATATATATTTGTTATAATTATTATTATTATTATTTTGTTATTATTATTTTATTATTTTTTTAATTATATATATAAATAGAAAACGTGTGTATATATATATACCTGTTTTACTTGATTCAGATTTTCGTATTTTGGTGAAACCCTGCTCGTACATAATTTGAATGATTTTTTTGTTTATACACTTCGTAATTATTCGCATAAAAATATATTATTAACAAAGAGATTATTAATATTTTTCTATCGAAAAAAAAAAAGAAAATAATAATTTAAAGAATAAACGAAGAACTTTACCGAACAAGTCAACGATTGTATTACGACTAAAATTGCTTATCTTTAACAGAACAAGAATTTGTTTCTATCCAATCAAGAATCATTTCACCTCCCACTTTTACATTTGCAAGGTAAATCATTTCTGATATAAATTTTACGTTTATAAACTTACAGATGATGATAAGTACGTAGTGTTTGATTATTTACATTGACACTTTGTAGCAAATGTTCAACGTGATTACGTTTCAATACTTTTAAATACTTTTGAAATATCTGACAGACTGTATGAAACGTGTCATTGATAAGATAATAGTAATAGTATTTTAAAAAGAAATTTTTGTTTCTATTATTTCCCTAGTCGACAAAAATAGCATTGTGCAGACGATCGTTTTAAAAGACCGGTTACGCAACATTAAACGTTCCAAATATCTTTCAATGACAATTTGTTTTAGATGCCATTGAAAATTATACGAACTGTCTTACGCATAAACATTTATACATATATATATTATTATTATTATTATTATTATATGTTAAATTTTGTATTAATATTTAATTTATAAAACAAATTTTGATAAAAATGTTATTTCTTGAATTACCTTCTTCGGTATCGACGAGAAAAATCGATGGTAGCCGAATTCCAAGAAACGTTTCGTTTTCTGTTGTTGTCACACCTCTGCTCGACATTTTGTATTTTTTTATTATTTTTATAAATATTATTTGAAAACAACAACAACAACAGTCACGATAGATGATTCTTTTTAAACTGACTCGTTAGTTGGTGGTATCGAAAAGAAATAATTATTATTATTATTTGAAGTACTGACGTTTAAAAAAACTACGTTTTATATAATACAACAAGAAGTAGTCGTCCACCAATGATTGGCTCGTTTTACACTTTGCTTAATTTTTTAGCTCAATAACACACATATGTTAAACGTTAACGTGTTGCATACTATTCGTATGAAATACATGGTCACACGAAGTGTTATTTATAATTAATTTTATTTATTGTTATTTTTATTGTTCACTTTCACTATGATTTGTTGATTTATTATATTAAATTGAAAGTAAATATACTCAATTTGTATCATTCGTATAATATCGATAATTAACTAAATTTAATTATAAATAATTGAATAACAATAAAATGAAAATTAACGTGATCAAAATATAAAATAAATATAAAAAAGTATACGTGAATGATGTTTGAATTAACTGACTGTTCGTTGCAACTGAACTGAACTATACTCTAAACTGAAACTAACGAGAGTTATTTTCTTTCTGTACATCCACCGACACCTTCGGAGGATCCCGAACTCTATTAGTGTTGAAAAACAGACAGAGAGTGAAAATATTCTGACAGTGTCAAAAATACTACAAGGATAAACTAAGAAGAATACGTGGGGGCAGGCTTAATGCCAATATTTCAACGAAAATTTGTTCCATTAATTTATTTTTTTTTTTTTATATATATATATATATATATAATATACTATGTTCATTCATTATTTAAACGTTAAAGATTATTCTTCAAATAATTATAATAATTATAATTGAATTATTCCTGAATTATTTCATGGATTGGTAATTTTTGTACAAAATCAAAATCATACAATTTTTGGAAACTGTATAATATATAATTCTGTTTTTCATAAAATATGTTTTATCATAACTTGACCTAATTATGGTTTTGTGGTTTGGTTAAATACAAAAATATATTTCTATGAAATACAGTTTTTGAAATTTTATTACAACACAGTTGAACTAATTTAAAATTTAGAAATATTTTGAAAATTATATTCACAGAAATAGAAAAATAAAATTTAAATAATTCAATGAAATATTAAAAAAACTATTTGAATCAATGAATTTAAACAAAAAAAAAAAAAATAATTTTCAACAAATGAGAAAGATTAAATGTTACGTTTCCATGAAGAATATGATTGACAGAAAGAATTTTATTATCGTCACGTTTGGTGACAATTGTATAATGAGATGAACATCAAGTGGTGAGTCCTCATCGTGACAATAAATTATAAATATTCACTAAATTGCTTTTTATAATGCTTTTCTTCCTTCGTAGCACGAAAGGCAAAGTTAATGGGAGTTCGTGAAGTTTTCTTAAAGAGTAAGAAATCGATATACTGTATGTATATATGTATATATATATGTGTACGTATATATATATACTTGGTATATATACACTTGTACATAGAGATGAAAACAAAGTTAGAAAACAAAGTTGATGCTAAACGATCGATGCTGTTCCTGTGTTAGCACTTTTCTATGCTACATTTATTATTTCTTGTCTTTTATTTTTCTTATTTTTCTTTTTATTTTTTTTTATTTTAATAAAACATTCATTTGTTAGATTTATTATCTGTTAGATTTCTAGAGATAAACTGTTCTTGATTCTACAAAAATATTTTATATACATATTACATTATAAATACGTTTAATATTATTTTTTATTTAAGCAACCCAATAATTTTTAATACTAAAAAAGGCAATCTTTTTGTAAACCAATCAGCGACGCATTATCCTATGAGTAAAAAGTGCAATTGTGCAAACCCCAATTAACATGAGGTCCCATTATTATAAATATATAATTATAATAATTATTATTATTTAAAGGAAAAATGTGACTTAATTTTTATTTGATAATAGGCCCAATATTATATAATTATATTTAATAAAATTATTATTATTATTATTATTTACAAGAAAAATTGAAAACAATAAATAGGGCAAGAAATGTGCCTTCATTAATTTATAATAATGCGTCGATGACCCTAATTTTTATTTAATAATAATAAATAAAAAGAAAGGTATGAATTAGTTTAACACTTACGACCACGTTGATCAGGATTGATGTGTCCTTGTGTGGTAGAACTATCGGCATCACCTTCGCCATCCAATTCGTAATAAATTCTATCGGATCCAACGTTATTGTCATTTACTCCATTTACATCAACTACACCGTTAACCGCAATACTATCCTCCATATTTTCCCTGTGAACATTCATACATATATATATATGTAGTGTATGTGATACCTGTTAAAACTTGACAAATTGATCATGCAATTTAACAATGGTTACATTCGAGAAGTAATACGAACTATGATGAAAAGCAAATACAAATATGGTTCACTTGCCATTGTGCCATTTATCTTTTTTTCTTTTTTTTATCTTTTAAGGGAAGTAAAGTTTTAACGAAGCAAATTTATTTTATGATCCATTGCAAACGTTATTTTTATCACCTTGTTAACATTTTGATTTAATTCAATCAATTAAATTATTGAAATATAATGTGATTTATATTTTTTCTATAATTATATTATTTTTTTTTTTTTTTTATTATACAATAATGAAATATAAAATTAATTTAAAAATATCGTGAAATTAAATAAAATTCATTTTAGAAAACGTTTTTGAAAAGTTAACAAATATTTGTTATTTTATATATTTCATTGTATAATATTATAACAATTAGTTTGAATTTTATTGATTACTACGTTTTAACATAACAAATTTTCAAACAGTCTCTTTTAAAAAGACCCTCGGATAAATTCGTGTTCTTTTAATAGATCATGAAGAAGTTAATTCAAGCTTGTTAAATGACAGTATCAAAGGGGGAGGGATTTGATCGTTTCATGTTAAAAAATGTTAGGTACTTTATACTAATACATAATAGTATATTAAGTAGTTAAATAAAATCTTTGTATGTGTTTCTCAGTATGTATTAATGTGCATTTCAATGAATGGGAATTCTTCAAAATGAATCAATAATGCAATTATATACTATTAAACTATAGTTACTCATGCTATACTACGAAACTGTTACTATATTACATAAAATAATGCAATTATAATTAACTGATTATTATATTATGATTCAAGAAGAATTATTCTTATATATATATATATATATGTATGTATATAAATAATAAACAAGAATTTGAGATAGGAAAAAATCAATAATTATAAAAAACAAACTTCCAAGATGTCACTGTTATTCATTCAAGATATATGCAGTTAATGCGCAGGTGCAAAGTGCATGCACTTCGTTGATTGTCTCTTTGAACATGTGAAACACAATATTACAACTGCATACATTTAATCCATCAAAATGTTTCATTCAAAAACGATGATGTATTACTGAAATAATACAAACAAAATTGATAAATAATTAAATATCAAATTTTTTAAAATTAATAATAATAATAATAATTTTGTAATATGTAAAATATATATATAAGAATAATTGTTCGTTCACTTGAGAATTTCTCGACAAATGTTCATAAAACAAAGATTTTATTTTATTCCATTGATTGAGTGTGTAGAATAAAATGGTTGGTCACACACACATATTAAAACCTTGTTTTAGAGATCATGGGGCCCTAGATTTGTATTTTTATTGAATGTTTATGTAGTCGAAGCATTTGTCTAAAACAAATAAATAAAGTTATTATGTTTATTCTTATTGCAAGGAAAAGTTAGGTATTGCATTTATGTATTAGAAATTATAGAAAATGTTAATTGGTATTATATGTTTATGTGATTAATGGACCCATTAGATAAGGCCCATTTCTTCGACTACAGTTCCTATATTTATTTTAAAATTTAAAAAACAATGTGTGTGTGTGTGTGTGTGTTGTGTGTAATCCCAAGTGCAAGATTTTGCATTTGTTTTTGTACATTCTTTCACTTGGAATGGAAACAAATTTGTAAGGGAGTGTTTGATGTATTAAAAATCGATGAAACATACTTACATAAGTTATAAACGATGAACAAACAAGATTCTTGGAATGTTTATAAATGTATTTCAATGTTTAAACTGTTTTTTTTTTTTTAATAACAAATAATCAAAGTGTAAAATTGACAAACGTTGAGATCACAATGTATTAAACGTACGACATGAAAGCCGGTAAAAATGTCGACCAATCACGTTGCGTTTGAATAATCAAATTAAAATAAGCGCGCGTTTCTAAACAACTACGTAAGTATTTATTATTTTTCTCGTCTTGATATCAGACAACACAACAAATTATTGCGTACTTCTATTTCTCTGATTTTACAGTCATATGGAAGCACTCATATGTGCGTTTATTCAAAAATTTTCAACTTCTATTTCTTCTTATTAATATTTACGACACAATTAGAATTATTTCAAATTCTTTATGCAGAATATTTGACGAAAAAAACTATCGAAAAATGAAGAACGATTATACACAACACACGCTGGAGCGTGCTGCTGGTCAGCGACTGTCACTACTGCATACCAGAGTTACTGTGTATGCGGTCAGGACCGTATCGAATTATTCCAAAACCTCACCTTTCGCTATTTTTTAAAATCAAATAAATTTATTATATCAACAAAATTATTTTATCGACAAAATTTATACTATTAAAAATATGCTATGTACAAACAAATCTATAATTTTAATAATACTATTACAAACACTTTAAACTATTCGATATACAGACGTGTTATACGATAAATTTGTAACATATATTATTTTTATTTTCAAATTGGTTTAATTAAATTTGTAACTATATATATATGATATTTATTTGCATAAAAATTATTACTTCCGAATATAACTTATGGGTGTTTTAAAAAACAATTATTACAGCACTGTTTATGGTGAGACGCGTGCATCACGATTTGTGATTGGTCGCACGATACGATGCTGTGTTAACCACGACACTCGACTAGCGCAGACTCACACCTGTCCGACTATGAAAATCCATATCAAGTAAATATCACATATGTATTCCTCGCACATGCCAAATATTATTCCTATTTTCAGACATTTAGTATACAATTGTCATCCCTGAATTTAATTTCAAATCTAAACTTCATAGATTATTCTTGCACTAATTATTTGATAATAAAAAACAAATGAAACATATACAAACATTTAACAAAACCATAAGAAAATTGACTATATTATTTCAATGGAAACAAAATGTTTATTTCTCATATTCAATCAATGATTAAATATATTATACTAATCGTATATAAATACATGATCTATTCTATGATTTAATATCTTTAGAACTATATATTCGCGCTATCATTTAAAGCAAACTTTACTGAAAATCAAAATCACTTTCAGTATTAGAAACGTTTCTTTCAATCGTACTTTCCGTATCAGAATCTAATAAAGAATTAATTAGATCTTTCTTTTTCTTTGATTGAATTGTTTGTTCTACGGGTATAGATTGTTGATCATGATCACTAACAATATTATTTTGATCTATTGATTCTTTTTCTATTTCATTATTTTCTACATTGTTTATTACGTCTTGAGCTTCTGTATTATCAACGTTGTAATTAGTTTCTGTATTAATAGGATCTTGAACAGTTTCCACAGTAGTGTACTGTTCCTCCAAGTATTCTTCATTCGTTACATTATCATTTATTTGATTATTATCGTAATTTTCATCGTACACATTGTCCTCGCGATATTCTTGATTCTCTTCTATATATTCTTGCCCAGATTCTTGTTCTGGATATTCTTCATATTGTTCCGGATATACTTCTTGTGTCTTTATCGCATTTTCATCTGCGATAGATGATTCATATTCTTGGTTGACATTTTGATAAGTAATCGGTGATTCATACTCTTGATTAATATTATCTTCATCTAACGCATTTTGATCATAATTATACTGTTGATTTGGATCTATAAATTCTTCATTTACCTCAGTTTTATATGTGGCTTCTTGATCGAATTCTTGAACGTTTTGTTCACCCGAAGCATAATACTCGTCTGACGCATTCTGTTGTTGCAATTGTTCTTGCTGATTATCATCAATTATTTGATTATTTTCTTCTTCAATGACTTCTATTTTAGTGTCGCCTATCTCATCTTCATAAGGCTGGTTCGAATATTCCAGATAATCGTTTTTATCTGGAATATCTTTAACTTGTTCCTGTATTTTGTCGTTTTCATCATTAAAATCTTCCCTATTCATAATTATCTCTGAATCTTTATTCATATCTTGCTGTTCAATTGGACCAATTTCGTCGACAATTGTATTTTCAGGTGGCGTTGTTTCATTCTTTTCTATTATTAATGTTTCTGTAATCTGTTTTTCGTGATCATTTTCAGTAGCGATCACCGTTTCATTATCATTATTATTTTTATTTGTATCATCTAATTGTATTTCTAGAATTTGTTTTGTCATACTTTGAACATCCCAAGGATTCAAATATTCAGCGTTAACAAATTGTTCTAAAATTTCTAATTCCTCTCCTTTCTTCAATGCATTATCTTCTTTCTGATCTTTTACTACAGTTGTACTACTTTCAACTGTTATATCTGCACTATTTTGTAGGATCGTTTTCTCATTTTCATTTGAATCTCGTGTATTTTTAACTTTCGTATTATTCCAGTTCTCATTCTCAAGGCCTTGAATATTTTGGTCTACTTGTTCTAATTCTAGATCATGCGATGCAACATCATTATTAATATCATCATTATTAATATCATCCTTCTGCAACTGTGCAGATGTTTCTAATGTCTGATCGGAAAGTACGTCGTATCTCGTTTCAGAATTAAGATTTGTATTTCTATCATTTTTAGGTACAACTCCATTAATTTCTTTATCTTTATCATCGGAAGATAATTCTATTTCTTTAACGATAGGCTTTTTAGATGCAAGTTCATCAGCCAAGGCTAGAACCTTCGCAACTTCTTGAGACGCACGTTCATCTTTAACTTTATCCGTAGGATAATCTATTCCATCATCGGAAAGCGTAATATTAAGAAGATCACCACTTGTATTCTGTTCATAGTCATGTTCATCCAAACTTTGTACATCCAATTCTCGATGAAGATTATGAATTTTATCGATGTATCTATCCAACTCGTTTTCCAATTTTCTCGTAGTCCTGATCTCTTCATCCAAATCCGAATTCTTTTTTGGAATATTCGATAATCCATGCATTTTTCTTCCCAAGTTAATATTACTTAAGTTTGGAACATTACGATAAAGTGAATTATCTCGTGATAAATATTCCGTTGGAATTTCTTTAGATTTGAAATCTTTGTAGGAATATCCCGTTGGTTTATAGGTCGAGAAATAATCAATTTGTTTGAAAGATCTTGGAGACACTTCTATCGGCATTCTATGAGGTGAATCAGCTTTTAGAATCTTTCTTGGCACTGATCCCAAACTAGAGATTGATGCTAAGTTACTAAAATTCGCCGATCTTGGAATATTTTTATTTAAATCGGTATCACGGTATAACGTGTGCGATAAATTAGATTGACGTTGAGTAAACGTCGACGGGATTTGATTTAACGGAACATTCATTGAATCACGGTGTAAGATGTTGTCATTAATCGAAGGTTCGTTAATAACAAGACGTGTAACATTTTGGTTTGGTTCCATATGACTTGTTGATAATTTATTATATTGCGAAATATGTGATCGATTCAAGGCCACGTTTTCTAAAATCGATGCAGGCAAATACTGAGCTTGCAAGTAGTCATTATTTTCAAGATTTAACGACGATTGATCCGGTTGATTGATCTGAGATAACATTTGCGGCAATTGCAAACGTTGATTTATATTTTTAACATCTCTCGGTGAAGAATTAACATTTCTTTCGTATTCAGAACTTCTTTGAGGAACATTGATCTTGTGGTATAAAGTATTAGGGGATGTAACGATTCTCGTTCTTGGTAAATTTGGTACATGCAACAATTGTTCGCTTCTCAATGGATTATCTCTCATTTTGGTATTTAATTGAATAGTAGAAAAAGGAATGTTTGGATTTACTTGATGATTAGATTGGACGATAGATTTCTTCGAATATCCTTCATCGATTTGACTTGTAACTCCACTGTCGCCAGTTATGCTACCTGGATTTGGACGATTCGCGTAATTACGCAATAAATATGTTTCGTACTGTTTCTGTAAGATAAACAAATATATTAAAAATACAATATATGAAAAAATATCAAATGAAATGTAATATCAGGTGGTTTGTTCAATACGATCGATAGACAATGTTATAATATCAAATTAACAACGTCATGGTACTAGGAAGCATTATGCTTTTGGTGCACGCAATGTTATCTACATATACTTACATACATTATTTAAATAGATAGAAAAAATATTATTAGAACATAATCAAAGATAAACTTACTCTAAGAAGATGAAGTTTTTCCGTTTTTGCGGTCATTAATGAAAGACTATTGTCGACCCTATCCAATGCGCCAAGAAGTTTGTGGTTTCTTTCATCCCTTATTCTTTGTTCTTCTAAAAATTCTATATATTTCATTCGCAATCGGCTTATACAAGTATCTCGTCTGAAAATAAAATTATTTTTATTATTTATATGATAATAATACAAATAAATCATTTAATTTGCATCATTTAATAAAACAAACAAAATAAAACGAAGGAATGTAAAATGGATAAGAATTTGAACTAATTGTAAGAATAGTTATTAAAGTAATTTATGCTGACAATTGGAATCTAAAAGAAACATTTCGTGACATTTAAAGGGAAGGTCAAGCATTGGAGGTCTGCACGCGATGAGAGAACTACAGGACGTTTTAAAGGATGATACGCGCAATAGAATATCGAACTTGGTTGGAATACAGTTATATTTCGTATTACGATCGATGAAATTTCTCAATGCTAAAATTCCACACACGTACACATAAACAGGTCTGTATTTATAAAAAAAAAAAAAAAAAAAAATAAAACAACTGAAATTATTAATAAAATATCTGTTTATAAATAAAAAGTAATTATTGCATATTATAAAATTAAATGTGATAATTAATATTTGATTTTAATTGAAGTGAACTGTTTTCTTTTACTATAATTTTAATTTGGTTATGACTATAATTATAATGTTATATTATTTTTTTTTTTTTTTAATGATTGTCAACCTTTTGTTTAATATAAATTTAAAATTTAAATTAATTATAGAATTAATAAATAAATAAATTATGTTTTAAATGTTTACCTGTTACGAGATTCTTGTACCAATAAATTAAAACGTTCTTCCAATCGTATCCTTTCTTCTTCGCTAAAACAATAATACAAATAATTCATACAAATAATTGAAAATACATACAGTATACAAGGATAATTACCTTTTACGCAATTTACTCTGCAATTCGAGCATTTTTTTATAATAATCGTGAGCATCACATAGCGATGTCATACTGTAGAATAAAAATCAATTCAAATATCCTTCGGCTTATCGATCAACATCGATATTCGATATTTTACGGTCACGTGATCGAAAAAACTAAAACCGCGCGCTAGATCCTTTCCATTTTGAAAAAAACGAATTAATCTGTCAATTTGTAAATAATTTCAATAACTCGAATTAAACAATTGCACTTACATTTAATGACAATTTTTTATAATTAAACGAAATATTTGAAAGATTAAAAATGAAATTATTTGTTCGAGAGAGCAGGAACGTGACCCTTCGCCATACAAATACAATGAGGAACTGTCGCGTTTTATCAAGCGCCGCGCAGAAAGAGGGGTGTTTCGGTAGTCAAACACGCAGGTGTTGTTGGATACGTTGCATGCTTCTATAACATGCGGGTATTAATGATATTTTTACAATTAACTTATTAACAAACTTTTTTTATCATCATATCAAACTATTTTTAATTTATTTTTTAGTAATATATAATGTTACTTATATTTATTATGCATACATATATATGTATATATATACTTATATATATATATATATATATATATATATAAGCGTTTTACTTAATTAAATTAAAAAAATAATAATATATATAATATATATAACATAATATAATATAATAATATTAATTCTGAAGCCTTGAAATAATAATAACTATTAATAAATAAAATAAAATAGTAACGTTATAGTAATATACTATCATACAGGGTGAATCCAAAAGTATATTAAAAAATTTTACATCAATGTTTTATTTTTTTTTTTAAAGTTACTACTTTACTATAATCATTTCATGTGTTTAAATATATTAATTGATTTTTACTTATATGCATTTTTATAGTTTTGATAGCTGCTTACAGTCGCATTTATGTTACAATTTAATATTCCAATATTAATTATACTCACCATTATTTATTTATAAACTAATCATTAGAGTAACATATTATTTTATTTTTCTTCTGAATCTTCTGCAATTTTGGTATATGTTACACGTAAATGTTCTGTTAACTCTGGTACAGTTGTAGTAGCCATACAAAATACTTGTTCCAGTGAATTTCCATTGATTTTGAATTCTCTATATGTCTGTGTAACAAAAGATAAATATAAATAGAATGAGCTTTACAAAATAATACAAATGAAAACTAAAAAAATGTAATAATACCTCAATAACAGCAGGTAGTTTCATTCCTTCAGTTTGTCTCATAATTCCAGTGCTTTTTAAATGAATAACATTATCAACAACAGTACCTTCCTCAATCGTAGTCAATCCAAAAATATGTGCCAGAAGAAAAGATACTTTATTAGTTCCTGGTATAATTTTCATGAATCCAGTTTCACGATGCATCGGTTTCTTTAATGTAGGATGCCAACTCTGTGCAAGGTAGTTGAACGTCGGTTGGCCAATAGATGTAAAATTGATTTCTTCACAATAGGTAAATGGTTTTATCGTTGGAAATTTACCTAATCCAAGATTATTGTTATCGGTGATCCATTTTCCTTCTAGGAATGCTATTTGCTTCAAAGCTTCATGTATTGGTAACCGATTCATATTTAGTTTTCTAAATTGTAAATACAAAATATATTAGAGAATGAATAGATTTTAACAACAAATAAAAATAATGAGTGTAATCCACTAACCTCTTAATTACGTAAATTTAACAAAAGAATTATGATTGTTATTCTAACACTTACATTTATTGATCAGAAATATTACTGCATTTGCTGATTTATTATCTAAAGAATTTTATTATGTTTTTGTTTGTTAGAATTTATATAAATAAATATTTATGAAAGATAACACGTTAACACCATTTTCTAAAAGCCCGCTTGTAATGATTCACAATATGGCGTCCGCATTCATTTTTCATGATTTTATTTTCGGAATCTTTACACACTGTACTTTCATTTATATATTTAGCCGTAGTTTCTTCAGTATATGACATTTGTAATTCATTTAATTAATCAATGTCATTTTAATTACTTGCATAATTAAACAAACGTTAAAACATAACCATATTAACATTTTTCCATACTAAATTATTTCATAAACCCGTTGAATACATGCATGCAGTTATTGTTCATTTAATATTTCATAACTTTTAAAATCCTAATTTAAATAATAATAATAATATATATTTAAAAAATAATAAAATGGAAAAAAAGAGAGAATTTATCGTGATAATGTTATATCTTGAATTTTAAATATGAAGCTAACATTATTACATGTCAAATTGACATATGAGAGTGTAATGTGTTTACAAAGACAGTAAGCATTACTCATTTACCAAATTTGGTTGTAAGAATATAAAACAAAACTTTTTTATTGTGATTCAGAGAAAATGGAGAAATACGGGCGCCTTAATTTTAATAAACAAGTGTTTATTTCCAATTGATATTAAATAATATAAAAGAAAATCTATTTGATTTATATCATCTTAATCATTTATGATCTTTTTATAATAATTTTTATCTGGGATATAATATTAAGAAGAATACAAAAACTATGGCAGTATCTATAAATGAAATTTGTGAAAATACAAAGTTGGCACGTGAAATGGCATTAACTGGAAATTATGATACATCTGGTGTTTATTATCAAGGTGTCGTTCAACAAATTCATAGACTGCTTTCAAGTATAGCTGATGTTACAAGAAAGGCTAAATGGCAACTGGTGCAACATCAAATTGTTCAAGAATTTGAAAAAGTCAAAGCTACGTCACATACCTTACAACTTTTCAAAGTTGACACACACGGTGATAGAATAATAGGTAATATCGTTAAAACTATACATACAAATATACATAACGTATTGTTTTATAAAAATGTAATTATTTGTATTCAGGTACATCATGTTTGTCATTTGAAGAACCAACAAGAGATCCAACATCGTGGCCTTATAATAATACAGATGTTTCATGGAACCAAACACCAGCTCGAGACCCAGATGTTTGGCCACCTTTAAGTACAACAGAACAAAAGTAAAAATAATTTGATATTTTTCAGTATCATTTGATTTCAATGAAAGAATCTTGGCATTTAACATATTAAACATTTAATATTATTTTTAGAAATACCAGACAACAAAAGGGACAGCAAAAACAACAAAATCGTACCAATTCGAGAAGATCAATTCCTGCAGGGAAGAAAACAGAAAATAAAACAGTCAACAAGAAAGATGATAGGAGAACATCTAAACGAGATGATTCTAATAAGGTTTTTATCTATTAATCATAATCAAATATTATATACAATACTATGATTATATAATAATTGATTTTATATATTTAATTACATATTTGTGTATAGGAAAGATCAGAAACAATAAAGGTGGAAGCAGGAACAGTAAAGGTGGAAGTAGAAACTGAGGAACGTAAATTTGAACCATCAGGAAATGATCGAGATCTTGTTGATTTACTGGGTAAATTAATTATTAAAGTATCATACTATAAACATTACTATAATTAATTTAAAAATGTTTTTATGAACTTTTGTAGAAAGGGATATTGTTCAAAAAAATCCAAATATTCATTGGGATGACATAGCAGATTTACACGAAGCTAAAAGATTATTAGAGGAAGCTGTCGTCCTTCCTATGTGGATGCCAGATTTTTTTAAAGTATATTTAATTATAGATAACTATGTCATTAACTATTCGTTAATTATCTACGTAATAACAGAATTCTTATTATGTTTTATTTCATTAGGGAATACGGCGACCATGGAAAGGTGTTCTTATGGTTGGGCCACCAGGAACAGGGAAAACTATGCTTGCAAAAGCTGTAGCCACAGAATGTGGTACAACATTTTTTAATGTTTCATCTTCAACACTCACATCTAAATATAGAGGAGAATCAGAAAAACTTGTTCGATTACTCTTTGAAATGGTAATAATAATTATAATTATTATTTATATAACAAATTATATATATGTATTAAAACTTTGTGTATGTTTGTTATCAGGCTAGATTTTATGCACCAAGTACAATTTTTATCGATGAAATTGATTCCTTATGCTCTAGAAGAGGATCAGAATCAGAGCATGAAGCCTCAAGAAGAGTTAAATCTGAGCTTCTTGTACAAATGGATGGAATAAGTTCGAATAAGTAAGAATTATTATTTTGTGGTAATTCAATTCAATTATATTTGTTTCTATTTATTAAAAATTAATTATATTTTTTAGTGAAGATCCTAGTAAAGTGGTAATGGTATTAGCAGCTACTAATTTTCCATGGGATATAGATGAAGCACTTAGAAGAAGATTAGAAAAGCGTATTTACATTCCTTTACCAAATCGTAAGTTTTATGATTTATTATATGAACTATAATTTTATTTACTAGAACAAAACATATAAAGTAATCGACAATAATATTAATTAATTTTTAATAAATTATCTTTGTTTTACAGATGAAGGTAGAGAAGCTTTATTGAGAATCAATCTTCGTGAAGTAAAAGTAGATTTATCTGTAAATCTAGCGGATATTGCAAAAAAACTAGAAGGTTATTCCGGAGCAGATATTACGAACGTGTGCAGGTACGTACAATTTTAAATATAAATTTGTAATTAAAAAATACAATGTTTTCGATAAATTAGAATTTAGAAAATAACTGGTTACATGAATATCTATACGACGTTTTACGTTTAGAGATGCTTCTATGATGTCGATGAGAAAAAAGATAGCTGGTTTAAAACCAGATCAGATACGACAATTACCGAAAGAGGAATTAGATCTGCCGGTATCTGCTACAGATTTTGACGAGGCCGTAGAAAGATGTAATAAAAGTGTATCTCAAGAAGATCTAGAGAAATATGAAAGATGGATGAGCGAATTTGGTTCGTCTTGATAACATTCTCAATTAAAATTATTTCTTATTTTAACGCAGATGACACCTATTGATTGGTATCTTAAGATATATTCCAGATTTATTTTCTATTTAAACATGTATGCACATATGCACGCGCGTACGTGTAATAATATATTAAAACAAACAAAACATTTATCAAGATATCATTGAAAAACTTTGAAAATGCTCAAAATAATTGATAATTTTTAGATATATAGAAAGAGCTTGGCAAAAACTAAAAAATACTACAAAAAAAAAAAGCAATCATATATGTATATAATTAAATTTTAAGCACAAATATTAAGTACATTGTTTTGTGAGTCGTATTATACACTATTTTTCAAAAAACAAAAAGAAAGAAAAAACTAATTAATATAAAAATATTTCAATTTATACACATCTACATTAATCTAAATGTTTATTTTTTTATTTACATCCGTGATAAACTTATCTTATTAATATTTTTTCGGTGCACAACCCTCATCTCTCAACTTTTTAGTTTCATCATCAATATATTTAGTTTCTTTGGGAGCTTTATAATTGGCTACATGATCAACGCGTATTGTTCTACCCAAAATCTAAACAAAATTAAAATTAATATAATTAGCTAAACTAACATTTAATATTGCAGCAGTTTAGAATATTTTATTAACATACCTTAATGCCATTAAAATTATCAACAGCAAGTACAGTACTCCTTTGGTCTTCGTAACATATAAAACCGTATCCTTTCTGTTTACCAGTATCCTTATCACGTACTAAATTAATATTTACTATTTCACCATATCTGTAATATAATAATAATACTACTAATAATAATAATAATTTAAATAACAGATGCCTCTCACATATGTACTTACATGCCATGTCAATAAATACGCGTAAACTTAAATAATCTAATTTAAATTAAACATAAATCTAACATTACATAAATAAATATATAAATATATTATACATTATACAATTTTATATCTAATATAAAAATAATTTAAACGAAACTACGAATATTGATATGCAAATGATAATAATAAATATATTTAAAATTCTATCTATTTGAAAAAGTCAGTCGTTTAAATTATATCATTAAAATGAAACGAGTATTTTTATTATTACAAATTAAAATACTTTTATGTACATATATATACTTAAATAAAAAAAAAATATTATTTTGAACTTACTGCGAGAATACTGCGATAACATCACCCTCTGTCAAATCGTATGGTAATCCACCAACAAATATCCATGCACTATCTTTATATTGATCATGCCAAGACGTTTTTTTATTACCAATTAAATCTTGTTGAGCAAGTTTTGTTATATTTTTTACATTACTGCAAATATAATATAAAAGAACATTGAAATATATGTGGTGCATATGCAATAAATAGAAAAACAAATAAATTCTTAGGTTAAAATGTAATACTTACGTCAAAGGATTCATTTCAGCTTGATTTTAAATTATTCAGGATTCACAAACACTAAAAAACCTTTAATTAAACACATTTATATAAATTATTTATTAAAATTAATTCTTTTTTATTTTTGGTTAGGTAAGAACAGTATTATTAAAAAAAAAGATTATAAATAGATATATTATGAATATTAATTTTTATACATAAGTTTATATTCGTGATTATATATTTATAAAAATATTTATATGAAATTATTCTTTATTTAATACTATTCTGTCTTGCATTATAAAACAAAACTAAATTGTTTACATCCACAGCTGAGCAATATAGATGCATATCATGAATCATGCGCTGTAGGCGTATGCGCAGTAGACGCATGCGCAGTAGTCGCATGCACAGTATTCGTATGCGCAGTAGTCGTATGCGCATTAGTTGTATGCGCAGTAGTCGTATGCGCATTAGT